TTCATTAATAACTAGACTTTTTAAAAAAATTAAGCCACTCTTGAAAAGATGTAAGTACCCCAAAAATCATTCCACTCTCTCTTCTAGGATCGCTATGAGTCAGCATCGACTCCCTGACTGTGAGTTTGGGAAGGTAATTTCTATTGTGATGACTAAGGGCGAGGGCAGCATTGCTAGTAACATCTAATGGGTGGAGCCCAGGAATGCTGCTGACAGCTCATAATGCACAGACAGCACGCACAGCGAGTGATCGAGTCCAAATGTCAAACCTGTAGAAGTTGGGAGTCTAACCTTATTAGCATAAGACCTGGGATAAGCAGTAATTAAATCCACGCTTTAGGATGGCATTACCCATCTCTTGGTAAATCTCCTACTGCGAAGAAATGGCATCGATGAGATATTTACATTGGCCTCCGGATTCCAAAGTCAAGATCTCCGAGTTATATCATGACTCCATGAGGAAGGAAAATGGGTCAGAGATGATACCATGGCTTCAAAGGATAGTAAAGCAGACAGAATGTTAACCCCAGAGAGCAAGGCAGTGTGTTGAAAAGGAGAAACTAGACAGTTTGCGGGGAGCAAGACAGGCTGTCACGATAACTTTGGCTTCTGGTGTATTAACATTTGGAATAATGGGATGGGACAATTCCAGTGGAAATATCCACTGGGCATCTGGCAAAAGGAATTGGAGTTCAGGGAGAGGTCAGAACTGGGAATGCAGGCTTCAGAACTGCTGACCGGCAGGATACATTCGTTCTCCAAAGGGGATGGCAAGAGGGATTAAGAAAGGAGAGCAGAGAAAGAGGGGCTGGATTCTAGAAAAGGCACCTGAGGAAAAAAAGGTTGTGGTGAAGGAGGAACCAGGAAAGAAAGCAGAGAAAATGAAATTGGAATGGCGCCCTTAGGGCATGTTCTTCTTAAAGGTAGTCAGAGATGCATGTTTCTTGGTGGGTAAGATAGAATCTCACTCTTTGTTTTCTCACATATTTGTTCTAATTTAAATCACTGGCCAGGTAATGGACTATAATTTTGTTTGGTCTATGTTTGTTGTTATCTTAAAAACCTCTATTAGTCATTAAAACAAACAAACAAACAAACAAACAAACAAACAAACCCCCAAAGTATAAATTCTAGTCAGGCAATAGCTTCAAGTTTCCGCTCCAATCCCCAGCCTTCTGGTGGCTTCTGATCTGACGTGGGTGCCCCACATATTACTCATCTCAGCCAATGTTCTCATTTCTCCCTGCTGTGTCCACACATCCTTGTTTGACCAAATAGTAAGAACAAACAATTCCTTTCATAATGGATGTACCCTAAGGTGTCATGTTTCTGAGAATCTCATGCACAAATTTATACCGGTGACCCATTGAGCAATATGATTTTGGTTACTACAGTTGTCGTTGATGGAATACAAATGATAAGGATTAACTCTATTTTCCCCACAGACTTTTTGGAGCCCCCTTTGCCAGGCAGTACACAGTTGTTGTTTTTTTTGGGGGGTGGTGGTGGAGAAGAGGCGTGAAAAGGACCATGAATAATAAAAAGACTATGAATAATAGTTTTGTAAGTGGCAGTCAAGGTATCAAGATCAGCTGATCAAATCAGCAGAAGGCTATTTAAATAATAATGATGTGAGTATCAAACTATGACCTACTCTTTTGTTTAACATAATACAGCTATTCATATTAATACTGGCTGAGATCTTTGGAGCATTCGCTCTGTGCGTGGCACTGCAGTGAGTACATTCTGTGGATTACCTTCTTTTGATTCTCATAATAAATCAAGATATAGGTGTCATTTTATCAGGAGGGGCTCTTACAAATCTTATACAATCCATCCTACAACAGTATTGAGCACACTTGTACGTATGTGCTATCAAAATTTCCAAAACATTTTCTTTCTACTTGAGTCCTTTTTTCCCCTCTCTCCCTCCCTTGTGAAGCCTTGATCAATTACATATTATTATTGTTATTTCCTGTCTTACACTGTCCATTTTCTTTCTTCACCCACATTTCTGTTATTTGTCCCTCTCAGGTGGGTGGGCTAGATATCCAACCTTGTGATGGGCTACCCCTTTCTCTCTCCCCTCCCACCCCAATTGGCATTTTGATAAGTGAGATTCAGATTAGGTCTTTAAAAAAAACGGAAATAGCTGGTCTCATCTCATCAAACTTCCACCTTCTTCATCCTCTGCTGGTCATGAGGGCATGGCTGAGCAGAGCTGGGGGTGGAAAAAAGGAAAGGGGAACAAGGAGAAAGAAACCAAGGAGCAAACTCCCCCCTCAAAAGCACTACTGTCAAAAGAACGCAAAATAATAATGAAAATGTCCTGCTTTCTGCCCTGTCCAGTTATGGCAGCCACCAGGCATACACTGCTCAGGGGCACTTAAGATTTGGTTGGTGCAACACTGTAACACTAACAAAAAAATAGGAACCGAGTTTTAATGAACAATTGAAGGCATGCAGCCACATTCAGTAACAGTATGAAATCGTATGTAGCAGTTTCATCATTGCAGATAGTTAAAAGAATGGGAGCATTTTTCCTTTCCTTTGGTTGGATGCTAAAATTCCCCTTTGCCTTTCTCCCACTGGGAGGAGTGGGTGGGGCCCACAGAAGGGCTTTAGCTCAGAATACCCACCTTTTCCCACCTTCCAACCTCAGAGAAAGGAGATGATATCTTTCCGCTTTCCATCACCTTCTATTCCACCTCCGCTTGGTGTGCTCCCCAAAGCAGCATCTTTTCAAAAGCCTTGAAGAGGGAACCCCTTCAGATGGAAGTGAGCAGGGTACATGGGCATTGCTTGTGTTCATGACCAGCACCGGCCCCCCGGCATTGTCACCATCTCCCAGTGAACCGTGCTCTCACAGCATGAGAATCATGTGCCAGAGAGTGAATCAGGCAAACTACATCTGAACATTCCGAGAATTTAAAAAATAGCATGAATGGAGTAAACAAAATATTTGCTTTGGGCTTTGCTGGGGCCCTTGTAAAAGGCAGTGGAGAGGAAAGGAAGCCTGTGTTTCTATCTTCCAAAACGTTTAAAGCACTGGTTGCCCTCCATTATTCAAATGGAAAATTCAGCTTATTTGTCTCCTCAACTAATGTTTAACTAAGAGATTTTTTTTTTCTAAAATTCAAGCCTTTAACCTACAGACCTTCTCGCCCCGAGAGCTCAGCGTCCACAGTCTGACTCTACGTTTATAGGTTCATTTTCCATGCTAATGAAAACTTTTACAGGTCTATTTGTTCATTCTTATGTGGGTTCTAGACACACATTCACTAATCATCTCTTAGATCGAGCTCAGAATGTATTGCAAATGAACTCTGGGTTTAGACTCCAGTTTATCATTAAAGAGCAGGAAACTGAGAGGAGCAGTTCAGACAAAATAGCCAGGGGGTAAAATGAACAGTTTCATGGGTTTGTTCTAAAATCAACCTATGATCAGGTTGAAAGGAGCCCTGGAGGTGTAATGGTTAGCCCTGGGCTGCTGACTGCAAGATCAACACTTCAAAACCACCTGCCACCTGTGGTCTCTGAAACCCAGAGGTGTAGTCCTACTCTGTCGCATAGGGTCTCTATGCGTCAGAATCGACTAGATGGCCCTTGAGCTTGGAGCATCATGTCGGGAAAACGTAACTCATAATTCAGTGATTTCTTCTTCCCCTTCTCAGTTGATCGGCCTCCACGCCGCCCCTTGCCCCCCCACACACCAAATTGAACTCGTTTGGGCTTGGTACTTCTAAAACATTTGATGATAGCCCAATCGTCTGGGGGAATCTTGGTGAAATGAAGATTCTGGTTTAGTAGATTTGGGGTAAGTTCTGAAACTTTTCCACGGAGGTCCAGGTGATGCCCATGCTGCTGGTCCCCAGACCACAGGCTGGAGGTAGCGACCCTGCATGTAGCTATCCAAAGATGTCACACTCAGATCTCCACAGTTCAGAGACCGTGCTCAGGCAGGAAATCGAGTCCTTTGTAATACCCAGCTCGCATGATGAGTTACACACTGAGTTGCCAACCAAAAAAAAAAAAAGGCAGTGTTTCAACCCCCTTGCTGCTTCACAGGAGAAAGATAGCACTGTTTGCGCAAAGATTTAAACGCCTCGGACACCCAAAGGGGCAGTTCTGTTCTGCCCTATAGGGTCTTTACAGGTTGGAATTGAGGCAATGCCAGTACGTTTGTGGTTTTTGTCGCTGATGTGGGATGGCCCCTGGCAGATTCAGGCAGCCCTTTCTTACATGGTAGCCGCTTTTCAGGTTGCGCTTGGAGTTGGGTAAACCCTGGCATCATAAGCAGTACTAACGCGTCAGAGGGCATGGCTCGTGCCTGCGCTTCACGCTACCTTCTGGAGAATCTGCCATCGAACATAGGCACCAATATTACTCTCAACCTGCAGGCTCAGGGGAGTGGCTCGCTTAAGGTCTCCAGCTGTTAGGAAGAGCTGCACCTGGGTTCGATGGACCCTGGAAGACAATGCTTTGAAGAAACACGCCTAAAACATTCAGGTGTGTTTCTCTGCAGCAAAACGGGCGGGATTGAGGGGCAGGATCCGATACACCCCAAGAGGTGTTTGCATTCACCCCGCTTTGTCCCTGCTGGGGGTGGGGAGGAACTTCTTTTGGAGAACCCCGGCCCCCCCTCTCCTGGCCTGGGTGATGGACCCGCACCGCGGTTCCCAGGAAGGGTCCGGCAGTCCGAAAACCAGTTGGCTCGGTTCGAAAGCATTACATAACCGCCAGGCGTCCCTGCTCTCTCGTGCCCCCTTACTCGTGGCGCCGCGGCTACGCGCCCAGCCAGCGGCTCTCCGCGGTCGCTCCCCCTCTGAGCGCACTTCGGAGTGCACCGCGGAGCCGCCTTTCCCAGGCCCTGCGCGGCGATCTGTCCACGAAGATCGTGTCCCCGGCGCTGCCCCCCGGCCCCGGGCGCGCCCTCGGGCTCGCTCGCCCGGTCGGAGCTCCCGCCCCTGCCCGCGAGGCCCGGCACCCGGGGCGCCCCAGGGGCATGTGCGCGCGCCGCCCCCAGAGCGGCAGCGGCGTCGGCGAGGTGAGGACCCTGTGGGGCCGGGCTGGGGGCAGCCGGGACAGGGGGTCCGGCGGGGAGCGGGCAGGAAGAGGGTGATGGTTGGCGCTTTGGAGCGCTGGCCCCTGGCCCCGCCAAGCCTTCCCCAGCGGGCCACCCGGAGCCCGTCCTTCAGCTGGCTTGGCTGGGAAGGGGCCCCCAGCTTCTGGTTGAGTTTCGGGGTCCATGGCTGGAGAGAAAACGGCTTTGATCTCCATCCCCCCTGCTTTCCCGGTGCAACGCAGACTTCCCGGGGCAAAAGTGAGGCATTTCTGGATTCTCTGTGCTTTCAGCGTCCCTTGCCTTCCTTTCTCTCCTTCCTTCTCTCCGACCCTCCATTCATCCTACCCGCCTTCTCTTTACTTTCTTCCGATGTTCCTTCTCTCCCCATTTTCCCCCTCTTTCTCCCAGTTCTCTCTCCCCTCAGATGGTAATATTTGTTTCGCATATATTTTATATAGGGAATGGACGGACCGCAGAAAAGTGGGTGAAAGGAGACAGCGGTCAGTGTAAGACATGAAAAAAAGAGAATAATTTGTAAATTACGTATCAAGGGAACATGGGGGAGGGAGGGAGGGAAAAAATGAGGAGCTGATACCAAGAGCTCAGGTAGAAAGAAAATGTTTTGGAAAAAGATGATGACATATGTACAGGTGTGTTTGACACAAAGGATATCTGTATGGATTGTGATAAGAGGTGTAAGAGCCCCCAATAAAATAAAAACTTTTTAAAAAAGCGCTTCAGCTATCTAAAACTTGTGTTGATTGGACTGAATTTCTCCGAACTGCTTCTAGTCCAGCAGGGATACCTGTGGGTGGGGCTCACAGAATGTTAGCAGTGAACATTTGCAGCCTGGCTCCAGTGGCAGTGGGTTTGGTTCCGTTGGTCCAGTAAGTTGTGGTGCTACCAGGTTAGCTTTAAAACTCAGCATGCTAACGAACCTTCTTATGTGTTTTATCTTCTTGTACAGTCACAAGGGACCTACCAAGACACTGATGAACTCTTCCATTTCCAAAAAACCTAACCAGACTCACTACTGAGAGTTGATTCCAAAATGTTTGACAGGGTTTCCAAGACAAAACCTTTATGTGAGCAGGCAGCCTCCCCTTTCTCCTGGAGAGTGGTTGGTAGGTTTGAACCGCAGGTTTTGAGATTAGAAGCCTAACGCTTAGCACGCAGCACCACCAGGACAACTCCATATTTGGGGTCTCCAGTGGTGCACTAGTTTTAGCCGGGAGGAGAGTCTTCAGGCCCACCCAATACGGAAACACACTATCTCGATAGATACCTGAGCTCAACAGCTTTTAAAATCAATTGTCTTTTGCCTGGTTTGGTTTCTTTGTCCGACTAATGGTGCTGGGCCCTCTCAAAGTGCCCGACTTATAGAAAGACTGAGTAATAATTCATGTTGACTCGATGGGTTCCTGGAACGTGGAAAGATTCAGAGCCCAGCTGCTAGCCGAAGCTTGGCTGTTGGAATCCACAAGGACCCAGGCATCTCCTGTCAAAATGACAGCCAAGAACCCAAAGCCAAACGACGAAAACCAAAAACCCTACGGGGCAGTGGTACTCCCCTTACTGGGGTCCCTCTGAGTTGGAATGCACTGGATGGAATCCAAACGATAGATTTGGGCCCTGTAATCACACGATCTTAGACATTGGAAAGGGGTTTGGGGATAAGCTGTTAAATTCAATCCCCTCACTTTATAACCGTGAAGCTTAGATTCAAGTGGGCCAGCACTGACTAAACTTTAGTTGGTGATGGAGCCAACTGTAGGATCCAAGCATTCTCATTCTCACCTCCTGTAGCTTTAAAAGCACATTATTTCCAAGCGTATTGAACAAAAATGATATAATTAGAATCGACAAAGCATAAATTTCCTGTTCTTAACATATTTATTACTATTTGAAAAAAATAAAAGTAACTGCTTAAAAAAAAAAGAACACCTAGTGGGATTCAGAAATAGATGAGTGAGATTGATGAGGTCATAACATCTTTGAAGTATAATTATTTAAAAATCCAAACTTTTAATTCCAAAACCATGTTCTAAATTATTATCCTGTGCTGATTAGTATGCCCACATATGGGGATTCCAGGTGAATCCTCAGAAGAAAATTCTTCAAAATGGATGCCGTTAAGTCTACCACTGGTATCAGATTTATGTCCCTCCTTTCTGAGAATCTTTTCTAAATTATCTGCTATCTATGGTGGTTGTTAGAGAAAAACTGGGTATTTTACTCGGCAAACAGTTACAGTTTTAGAAACCCACAGGGGTCACGATGAGTCAGCATTGGCTCCATGACAGTGAGCGTATGGTGATGATTAGTTCGAGCTAAAGGTGTGATTGATGACGGCCTTAGATCAAACTTAGGCACATGTTTGTTGCGCTTAATACCTTGACCTGCAAGGGAGCTAGAGGGTTCCGAACGGCACTTTAAGCTCACTTCTGTAGCAGTGCACATTTTAATGTTTGTTTGTTTTCAGTTTACCAGCTGTCTGTTGTCTGCTCTGTGGCCTGCACGCTTCTGGGCATTGAAGACTTTTACCTGATGGAGTTCAAGGTACAGCTCATTCATTAGAATTTTTATAGGTATTGTTAGACAGAAGAAATTTGAGTTTAGCCTAAAGCAGGGATGTGACCATAAACATGTCAAACTACCTCCCACACCTGTCATTCTGCTGATTTTACTAAAAAAGAAACCACTCACGCCCATTGCCTCCTGATTCAGAGTGACCCCACAAGACAGAGTAGAATGACGGAAAAGGATTGCTGAGACTTTGGGGGAGCAGGCAGTCCCTCAAAGCAATTCGTGGGCTTGAACAGCTAACCTTGAAGTTAGCAGCCAAGTGCTTAACCCACAGCACCACCATGGCTTCTTCCTGGTGACCTTGTTTCTTTGTTTTATGGGATCCTGCTGATTTTAGAAGCCAGACACAAAATTAGACGGAGTTATTTAGACTTTCGGGAACTGACGTACTGTATGTGAGTAGCAGTGCTCGCATTTGGTTCTTCTGTGTGTGTGCATATGGAGCTAATGAATGGACATTTCCTTCGGCTCGGGGGACATTATTTTGGGAACTTTAAAGTGAGTGAGCCGTGGGAGGCTGAGTTCTCTCAATGGTGCTGGCACTACCATGCCAGTGTCACAGCTGGTTTGCAGTGCAGACATTTGTAAGACATAGCTTTCAAATTTTATTTATGAAAACAGTGTTCTCCTTTTATGTCATTTTACTTTACATTTGTCCCCCACTCCCCCCAACAGGCATAGGCTGTACCGTGTTTTGACTGATTGGTGAATCTGGTACCACAAAAGTTTGTTTTTTTTTAATTAAATATTCCAGCTTTAAGTACTTTCTAATTCTACCCATTGCTTTTTATTCAAAATGGCATGGTTTGCAAGCTCAGGCTTGTTTATTGTTTTTAACAAGGGCTTATCAAAATGAACTTGGCAGTTGTTCAGTCGTATACAGCCAAAAAAAAGTATTTGTTGCAGGTTTGGGGGTTGTTTGTGTATTCCTTGCCTAACCACTTGCTTTACTTTTCAATAATGACCAATTTGAGAGCTGTTTTCTTGTAAGCATCTTTCTAGCACATCTAAAACCTCCCTTAGTCAAGTGGTCTAATAAATTAAGAGAGGCAAACCAAATCCGCTCTTGAAGACATCAGGTGATGGTGAGTGTACAGATTTTCTTCTGCCTGTCTGGTTTTAATTTGCTCAACATCAAAGGCCAAGAGAAAGCCTTATTACGTGACCTTATCTGATTTGTGGGAGAAAGCCGGGACTTTCTACTCCTATAAACAATTACGGTCTCAGAAACAGGCAGGGACAGTTGGCTCTACCCTGTCCTGTGGGGAGCCTATGAGCCGACATCGACTCAATGGCAGTGTGTTTGGTTTGGTGTCCAGGTTGAAGATGGTCTCTGTTGAATGCTGGAGGAGAACCACGGTTTCCGAGGCCTGCCAGGTACCCAGGGTTGTTGATTTTTCCCCTCAATGGCCCAACTCTTGGCCCCCTCCTTCTAGAATTGCAGTGACAAGCGGGGTGAGTGGCTGTAACTAGGCAGGCTCCTACAGTTATTTAATTAACTGGTTCATGTATTGATTTTTTTAATAGTTCTTGGACTTTTCCTCTTTATTATGGTCATGTTTGCAATGCTTCTTTTATACAAGCTCTGTGTTAGTGGCAGTGGTTGACAGAAAGCCCTGAACCCGTGCCTGTAGGCTTCTCACAGCCTAGCACAGAAGAAAAGATGTTGGGGGAGTGGCTGCCATACCAGTTAGAACTGCTCTCAGAGAGAGGGGACTGCATCGGGGCTTAAGAGGGAGGAGAGACTGTGGAGAAAGAGATGTATATTTGCGCTGCTCCTTGAAAAAAACAGATAGGACAGTATCTTCCAGTGCTGTTGTAGATACAGAAGGATGAACCTATCTCTACAGGTGCGCATCTTTGCTTCTTTTTGATGAGAAAATAGTAGACTTCCTTTTGGGGAACTGCTGATGCAGTGTTAGGCTGCATAAGACATTTGTCACCTCTGCCCCTCTCTGTATGCCTCCGTCCTCTGTTCTGGGTAAGGGGCTACTGACCCAACTCTTAACTCCCTGGGCTAGCCACTGAAACAGAGTTGGTCACAGCACAGAGACCACTGGAGCAAATACCTTTCTTCATAACTAAGTTAATGTACTTTGCTCTTGCTAGCTCCAGCACAAGCGTATAGTCATGTTCGGCCTTAGTCCTGTTTATGCCAGTTGAACTTGCTGTTGTAATTTTGCAACTTAAGTATTGTATGAACTGATAGGATGTGAGTGCCAAGCAATGAAGATTATGTCAATGACCACTGAGTTGCTCACCATATGTGCTTGTAAAAGCAAAAAGTCAGCCAACATTGTAAAACGTCGTGAGCACATGCTACAATTGGATGAGGCTTGAAAGCGTTATGCTGATTGAGAGAAGTCAATACAAAAGGCCATGTTTCAGATGATTTCTTTCACATGGGACTCCAGAATCCGTGAGTCCATAGAGACACCGAGATGGATTAGTGATTGCCAGGTGTCATGGGCTGAATGGTATCCTTCTCTGCCACCCGTGCCCCGAATATGTGTTAACTTGACTAGGCCATGCATTTTTAGTGGTCTGGCAGTTATGTAATGGTATATTTTGGAAGTTAGGATGGGATGCAACCCCCTTACTTAGATCATAGCCCTGGCCCATATAGGAATTTTCCTGGGGCGTGGCCTATGTAATTTTTTATCCTACTACAGATCAAAGGAGAGGGAAATGAGCAGAAAGCGGGACCTGCCTACCACCAAGAAAGAAGAGCTAGGAGAGGAGCTCTTCATTTGAACTCAGGGTCTCTGTGCTGAGAAACCCCTAGACTCAGGGCAAAGTTCAAGTCAAGACATGTGGGGATCTCCCAGGAACACTGGCTCATGGGTGCTGAAGGGAGACAGGACCTTCTTTCAGAGCTGACAGAGTGAGAAAGTCTTTACCCAGAGCTTGAATTCAGACTTCTAGCCTCCTAAACTGTGAGAGAATAAATTTCTGTTTGCTAACGCCACCCCCCTGTGGTATTTCTGCAATAACTTATGAACAAAGTGGGGTGGGGGGTGGATGGAGAAAGGGCGAGATGTGAGTGACTGCTAATGGTAGAGTTTCATATTGGAGGGATGGCCATGTTCTGGAATTAGATAGTGGCAATGGTTACAAACATTGGTGAACATCCTAAAACAAACAAACAAACAAACAATCACACCAAATTTTAGCTTGTAAAATAGTTTAAAGGCCCAATTTTATGTTTTGAGAATTTCACCTCAATTAAAATAAAGGGAAAAGGAAGTCTTTTAAGACTGAAAAACAAACAAACAAAAACCAAAGCAATATTAATGAGCAATTGTTGGTACTTAGGTGTGAATAAAACAACTATAAAAGATTGGAAAGCTATAGCATAGAAAATTTAGAAAGTTTCTACACTCAGATTTTTTTCACAAGTGTCTTTAAGAACCTGCTCTACTTTTAAGAAATGGAAGTAGGAATTTGTATGCGACAGATTCTAGGCATGGTTTAAATAGGGAAGTCAATGTGGGACTCTAAACATGACCTCATATCCAAAGATTCATGAGCAAATTTTTATTTATTTATGTGACTGAAGGTAAAGTACAGCGTTTAAAATGTGGTGCATCAGGTTCTTATTCTCTGCTTTCACTGACTTCTTATCGCTTCAGTTAAGTGAACTGGTAATGTTTGAGATTCTGAGGATATCAAGTAAATCTTGAAAATCGCTCATTTTCTGCATCGAGGGAGAAAATGGAATTCCATGCTTATGAACCTCTCTGGTGGATGTAATATTAGTTACTTAATATTATAGAGGAGAGCTAAACACAGTTTCCTGGCTTCAAATTACCATAGAAAAACAGTAATTTGTTTTACCCTGACTTATCTTATAGACCCCCTGGTTCATAATAAAGGAACTAAGTAATATAAACTGTGAACTACACTATTTAAAACGTATTCTCTAAAAATCCCGTATGTAAGACTCCTCCTGTGGTCTTTGACCATTCATTATCCCTGTCATAATGAGATTGAGGTTGTAATTACTTATTTCAGAGGCTAAGCAGTATTGTTTTTGTGAATGCACGTTGCTTGATGAAATACTTCCTATAAGAGTGACCCCATATTTATTCACTGGAACCAGGTACATTTCTTGCAGTAGCCGCTTCAGCTCCCTGGACCTGGATTTCAAAAGAGCTGTCACAACTTACTTCCATTTAGCCAATTCCTATTCACAGCCATCAAACAGGACAGAGTAGAACAGACAGCTTCCTGGAGCTTCCGAGGCTGTACATTTCCATGAAGCAGACGGTCTCCTCATTTCTCTCACATTTACAGCCCGGTGTTTAACCCATTGTGCCATCAGGGGTCCTTACAACCTATGAAGAAATGACAAAAACCAAAGGATAACAACAACAATAGCAAAACAACCCACACAGAAGCGAAGTTACACCTACTTTAAGGGAGAATTAGAGGACTGTCTCTTGTCTTTTTTCTTTCATTTTCTCTCTCTCTTTTGTCATCTTTTAAAAATAACTTCTTATTGTGAATTGAGTGAAGGTGTTCGGAGCACATTATTTTTCTATTGACCAATTCATACACATTTTGTTTTATGCCATTGATCGCAATCTTTCCAAGCGAACCCCCCTCTTATTGCATATTGCCTTCCCCTTTATCCAAGTTCCTGGCTCAGTGCTGACGAGCTCAGCGTTCCACGGTGGCCGCACGTTTCACAGCCCCCTCCTCAAGTTTGCTGTGCTGTCAACCTCAATGCTCACACTCCTCTCTGGATTTTTCTCGCTTTTATTTAATTATGTAAACATATATTTTCAAAATAGCGGACTCTTACATATTGAAACCGTTTGTGACTTAAGTACAGTGATTAATTTTAATCTTTTCCCCTTGCCATTAGAATTTACTCTTATGACAAAGTGCAGTGAATGTTTCATGGAGAATCTGATATAGAACGATCTACTGGACTACCCAGAACCAACTTCTTCTTAATGACATTTATT